GGCGGTTTGATAGGAACAAAATATTTATAAAATTCATTGTATGTCATCAGCATATAATTTATAGGCTCGAACTTTGAGTAATCACGATGGCGCATTGGTAATGATAGGAAGTCTGAGTTTCTTGTCCCATGTCGCGATGTTCTAATATTTATTTTGCTCAAAATGTGTTTCGATGATGTATGTCCACACATCACATTATGAACGAGTGATATTTGGGCTACTTTTCTCCGTTCTTCGAGCGTTATCATTTGTAATTCAAGCAGTCGGCATTCATATGGTGGTTTTCTAAATCTGTGTGGCCATTTCATTTTACGAAGTGCAAACAACAGAAATTGTTTCTGGATGGATTCAACTCGGGCAATCTTTTCAGCTGTGTATGGGTTCCATACTTGAGATGCATATTCGACAATCGGAAGGACAAATGTGTTAAATAGTCTCTTTATGGTCCATGGATCCTCAAACTCTCTACCAAATCGTTTAATCCATGCTAATCTTGATTTTGATTTTGCTGTAATGTATTCAATGTGTGCAGTAAAGTTCAATTTATGATCGAGTATAACTCCCAGATCCTTTATCACGTTGACTCGCTCAATTTGCTCGTGGCCAATCGAATACTTGAAGTTGAATTTCATGCATCCACGATAAAATGACACAAATTTAGTCTTTGACACATTTAATTTTAGCTTATTCCGATTAAAGTATTCAACGAGTTCATTCAAGTCCGCTTGCAATTGCAGACAATCATCGTAGTGTCTAATATGCTTCCACAGGCGAGTGTCATCAGCGAACGACTGAAGAATTGAGTCCCTTATGTGTTTTGGCAAATCAATGATGAACAACAGGAACAATGTAGCACCAATCGGGTATCCTTGTCCAGTTCCCGACGTAACGTCAATTGGGCTTGACATATCATTATTCAATTTCACAATTTGTTGGCGACCATGCAAATATGACTTGATCCATTTGAGTAATTGTTCATTTAGTCCCATAATAGCCAATTTGTTGATAAGTAAATCGACGTTGACCGAGTCAAAGGCCTTTGCAATATCTAGGTATATTGCATCAGTTTGTATATGGTTTTCCATGCCCAATATTGCACACGATGTAAACTCAGCTAAGTTTGTTATTGTTGATCTCCCTTTCATAAATCCGTGCTGACTGTCATCAATGATATTTATCATGTTGTAATTAAGGTGCTTTGCAACAATGGAGTCAAGCAACTTTGGAATTATGCACTGTAGAGCTACACCACGATAGTTTTCAACGTTGGTTCTGAGACCACTTTTGTGTACCGGTCTCACGAATGATTTTTTCCAAATCTCCGGCACAAATCCAGTTTCAAGCGATTCTTTTAGCATGTATGTTATTGGCTTTAGCAGTGCTGGAAGACATTTTTTCAAGAAAACATTTGGTATTTCGTCCGGTCCTGATACCATATTGTTCGGAAGGTTATTTATAGCATCCAAAACCAACTCTTCGGTGATGTCAATCGTAGGAAAGTTAGCACATAGATCTTTCAGAAATGGTTCATCTCCTGAATTATCATCAATTATGCTAGAATCTGGTTTGGTTAATGCTTTGGCAAAATGTGTTGCGAAAAATTGTGCTATTTCACGATTGTTTCCACTTTTTTTGTCTCCAAATACCATTCCATTCGGAAGATCACCATTCCTTTTGTTGGATACATTCACATATTCAAAAAACTTCTGTGGGTCCTCGTTGATAAGTTGCTCCATTTCAAGTTTGTAGTTTCTATATGCCAAACGTGCGCTCTTTTTGTATTCTCTTCTCAATTTGGAGTGTTCTTCTTTTGCGTAGTTTTTTTCTTCAGTAGTATGTCTGGATGCTATGTATTTGTGTTGATTATTAACTCTATTCTTCAAATTTATGAGGTCATGATTGAACCATTTTGGATGACTCGAGATCTTCTTTGTTTTCAGCTCAACATTCGATGAGATTACTGAATCAATCAGTTCGTAGAATTTACTAATGTGAGAATCCAAAACATCACCAGAGAAAATGTTTGACCAATCAATGTCGTTGAGCTTCTCATTAATTGCTTCGTAGTTGGCATTTGTAAAATCACGATAACTAAAATTTGAAATCGAATTACTCTGGATAGACTCAATATCACTGACTTTTAGCTCGTATGCACAGTGATGTGACTCCTTTTTCAATAGGTGATGGGTGTTTTTTGAGCAACTCACGGTCTCTGTACAATTTGTCCACACCAAGTCTAACATCGCACCGTTTTTATTCCCAATTTTGTTTACTTGAACAAGTCCCATTTCATGCATGGAGTCCAAAACAGTGGTTTCCTTTTCCAAGGATGCATTCAGTGGGATGGCAATGTCACAATCTTCCTTTTCGTCTGTAAACCATTCCAAGTTTGATAAATTAAAATCACCAGAAATTACCAAAATATCCTCGGACTTTAATTTTGCTGCTACTTCACGAATTGCATTCATATTCGCTTCATAAACCGCGACAGGAGAATCAGGACGTATGTACAATTCAATTAGAAAAACATTCCTGTCTTTCAATGGCAGGATAACGCAAACTTGTTCAGCGCCATACTGCTCACCTGTGCTGACGAGTTCAGATTTCATTGTCCGATCAACAGCAATCAGTACACCTCCACCCCTTGTTTTAATTTTCCTTTGTTTTGATTCAGTTTCAATCGAGCGATCACAGCGATACACGGTAAAATTTGGAGGAAAAACCTCTGAAGAATCAATTGTGCCGTCAAGGCGAGTCTCACAAAGCATAAATATTGAGGAATCCGAAGCGATTATGTCAGCGTTAAATTCAGCAAGTCTGGATCTTACTCCATTGATGTTTTGCGTGTGTATCTTTTTCTTCAGTTTATTTAAAGGTGTGCGGTGAAATGTGCTCGTGAAATTATTGTTCAAAAATGATGTGGCATGCCGTTCAAATGTGGTGCTCCATAAATTGGGTGTCGATATTGGTCGGTAGGATAATTCTGCTGCGGATCGGTCCAATATTGCGGTAAAAAAGACGAAGACTGCTGATGTGGCCTGACAATTTGACTGTTTTGTGCGAAATGGCCATATTGGATATTTTCAGGGACGCCGTAATGATATATACTATTCATTTGGCTGTTGGAGTTAATGTTTTGGCCATTATTATGAAACATTTGATTATTGTTGTTACCATTCAAGTGTCTAAAATGATCATTACGCCTGGAATTATTGCGCCGTTCAATAAATCGGTCGTATCCTCGATGTGGCCGTCGAAGATTTCCATTCCAATTTCGACGATTTGGTTGTGATCGATGGTTATTGTTGTTATTGCTCCTTAATGGCATTGAGTTTGGCATTTGACTGCGACCATTCCGGTTTTGACGATGATGTCGCTGGTTATTTTGACCTAAGCGATGGTGGTTTCGACTTACTTTCTCTTTCAGAAATACTCTGACTGCATATTCAGGTGCCCAAATCTCATTATTCATGATTTGGTCATAAATCGACCGGTTCAGAGTCGAGATCTTGAAAGACAAATGCTGTCTCGGTTGCTTTTTCCGTTTAGCTTGTGGCATAATGTGAACTTGAAAACATTCTGGATTTGTAAGACCAGTTTTTTCCAAAATCTTCACTACAACATCATCGGTCGTTGTATTTAATGGAAATTTTGATATATGAATTGAGTAAACTACTGCATCTGTATGTGGAACCGTTTCACCAGTTCGGATGGATTCAACCAAAGTTTCAATTTCATTTTGAATAGATACAGTAATTTTTTCACTAAATTTTTTCATTGTATCAACTAAACTATTCCGATCAGCATAATTTTGATTTGCTGTGTTAACGTGATCATTTTGTTCTGTTTTCATAAGTTCAATGTCCTGTTTTAGCTTCTCAATCACACTCGATAAACGCACAATTTCACTCTCCTTTTCATTCATGACTTTTTTGTTTGCTTCGTTAGCGATTTCATTGTCATTTCGCAGTGGATTCTTGAATTTTTCTGTACAAACGGCACAAGTCAGACCAAACGGTGAATTACTGCTAAACATTTTATTGAAATCATGGACACGAAATTTATCGGGTACTGATTTGAAATT